ACTAATTATAGATTTATAAAGCTTATATCTTAAAATTCTAAACCATAAAAAATGTTTTGACACCTAAAACCCTCTAAACACTCAAAACTAAACCCTAATAAAACATAATTAACCCAAACATAAATAATATAAAGAAAATATAATTTTGAAAAAATGACATTTTTGTAAAGATTTTAAAAATGTGGCATTTTTGTAAAATGGCATTTGAAAAGTGGCATTTTTTGAAATTTCTCTTTATGTAGACGATAGGGTTATTGTATTTATTTTTGACGTAGTTAAGCATTTTCCGCAAACCTTCTGGGTACGAGTAATAGTGTACGCCTCGATCTGCCTGTATCGGAAAAGGAAAAATTAATACTCTTGATTTTTCTGTAAGTTATACTGTTGAAAACAAAAATTCTTTTTGTTATATATGTAATTAAGACTTTACATACCCCTGGTCCGATTGGGTGGTTACTGCGATTTGTTACTGCATATAAAAACTAGTTTAGTGCACGAGTTTCAATTGATTAATTTACTCATATATACAAAAGATTTGGATTATGTTAGCACTCTTACCTTTCCTCTCAATATGTGGATCAGTTCTTAATCGAGGTCGCGCATGATCCATAACAGAAAGATGAGTGACGAAGCGTGCTGTATAATAGTTTAGTCCTATGAAATCATCGAATTTCTAAACATCTTTGATTGTTCTACTGTGAAAGAAGGTAGTCTATTTCCGACGAACTTTTTCATTTTTTCTGGATAATCTCCGTAAAACAACGGATCTAAAAGCCTAATAAATTGTACATTTAGAATTTAATAAATAAACTGTATGATTAAATTTTTTTTTTTATTTTCCTCTTTATTTCTATGATATAACGTACCACTCTATTTCAAAGGCAAGGCCTCGTTCAACGGCTGCAATGTCATCAGAAGAAGTGGTGTCGTAAGGTTCAAACCACCAAGGTGCTAACACTATCCCAATGTTACCATCTTTTAAAGTCTGTCACATGAAAGATTTGATTTATCTCTTAATACAAAATTGAATAAAAAAATCAATTAATTACATTATAAAATTCTATATATACACCTTGGTACAATTTCGGAACTCTTGTACTGCCACGGCATGACAAAGAAGAAGGTGATGTGATACAATGTAAGGCTCGGTGGCTGAATCACCCGCTTGACATTTACTATTCACCCATTTCGAGCATCATCCAACCGCTTTGTTGCCTGTTTCATACCCCGCAACACTAAAAATGGAAGGCTCGTTGATAGTTGTCCACATCTTAACTTTGTTCCCAAAGTTTTCAAAACACACTCTTGCAAAATTTCGAAAATCTTCTCTGATATATTGAATTGAGAAAAAGACGTATTAGTCATAGCTCGTTTTTTATGTGCATTTAGTTAATTTTATATGTCTTCTAATATTTTGTTTAGGTTGCTTACATAATTTTAGGGCTTAAGAAACCACCATACTCGTCTTCGAGAGCTTGAGGATGGTCCCAATGGTAGAGAGTCGCCGCAGGTTGAATGCCTGTATATATATTTTTATCCCACCAAACCNTATAATATAAGATCATATGTACATATCTACTATGGTTAATTTTGATTAGAGAGGTTTAATTTAATTAATTGTTTAATAAATACCATTAGCAGTCAGCTCGTCAATGAGATCATTGTAGAATTGTAAACCTTCTTTGTTTACTCCATCATTTACCTTTCCACCTTCAAATTAAAATTATTATTAATTTAGTAAATCATATATATAATTAGAAAGTTCTCTCTCCGTTTAGGATGTCCACCTAAACAAAAAATATTTTATAATTAAGGAGTATTATCTCTATCTAGAGTATCCACATTATCAAAACAAGAAATATCACATTAAAATTATAAA